GGGGGGGGCTGGAGAGGTTAATCTAAGTCGTTGCAAACAGTCGTGTCGGAGACCCCTCCCCAGCCCCTTGAAAACCCCAGTCAACCTTATTTAATATTAGGTTTTCCTGATAGAGGTATGTATTGAAATATTTTAGGGTTTTCCCAACTTTTAGCAAAATTTAAGACATTCAACTTGAATATTTTATCGTGCATGATTTTTATGATGGATTTTATTTCAGCTTGTTCAATTGGCAAAGTTACCTTTTATCGTTGGGAGCTGTACTTTGATATTCTACGTTATTGCTGTGTTATATGGAGCACCTTTCCTATCGTAAGTGCAAGACTTGTTAAAAATCATAAAGGTTTTTTATGGTTTCCTATGCTGTCTACTTGATTCAAGGAATCTTTTCTGTCACTCTTCAGTTTTCCTTCTCCACAAGTAAGGGTTTAGTAAACACCAAGCATCAATTTTATAGATAATTTCCCTCAACCTACAGACTGATCTTAGTAAGGATATAGTCCAGACGCTGCACCCTCTCCTTTGCCACTCCGCTTTTTTGGGGGGGCTTCAACACAGGAAGCCCAAAAATAAAAGCAGAGTGGCAAAGGAAGGAGTACAACGTCTGGACTAAGTTAGGGTATGGCTAAATCAAATTGGAATTCAGGATGTTGGTTTTATGTAGGGAGAAAATGCTATAAGAGGGAGAAAATCCTTTTTGTCTGCCCCTATCCCCCTTGAACCAAATTCCACTACTACTACCTGACCCCCTCTCTGGTAAAAATAAACCTTATATAACCATTTCATTTCACCATTTCATAATTTTTTTCTGAAATATATGTTGTTTGATCTCTTATTATTTTTGTCTAAACTTTCCAGGAAAACAGATGAAACAATGATGTTGGGTCTTGTCATGGCTGTCCTGTGCTTCTTACCACCATGTTGTATCTTAGGAGCCAATCTTGATGTTTTGTACAGAATATTTATCAGCAACTGGTAAAATTATCATGTTTCTTCTAAATTTCTCTGCTCTTCAATAGCCACATTTGACAGGGTGGTTCACACCTTGGCCATGTTATTCCCATGAGAATATAAAATGGAACAAAGTCAGAATTCTTTTTCTTTTTCTTTTCTTGGCTCAGTACCATTCCTACCACGATCTGTCCTTTCCTATCATCCACATGTAGTCTATAAGGCATTCTGAGGTTCAGGAAAAACTGGATTGTGTCAGCATTGCAATGCATTGTGGGATTGATTTAGGGGACAAAATAGATGCCATCTTGGAAATATGTTCCCTAAAACAGCCCCACAATGCACTGCATGCTACTCACTTTCTCCTCAACCTCAGAATTGCTAATAGTTACAGAAATCTTTAACAAATAAAAAAGCTTTTTCCATGCTCCATTCAGTAATAAAGCATGCAAGAAGTGACGTAAGCAYGAAAGGAGTGTAAGGAGAAGCACAAGCTGTAGGTGAGTGCGCTTCCTAAGTGCTTTATTACCCAAATGGACCACCGAAAAACCTGTTTTATTTGTATAGTCATTGATTTTATTTTGGTATTGAATTTATTTGCTCAAAAAGAAAGATGGTTGCAGGATCTAGCAGCACTTCCTGCACGCAAATGGTGTCAGCACTGTGTTCCGTTCACTAATAAAGCACAGTTTTTGAACAATCAGCGTGCTCGTACTATCCTAACTATATAATAACAGTGTATAAAATGTCATTTTATTTTCAAAGGCTCGAATGCACTGCTGAGTCGTATTTCCAGTGCTGTATGACACTGACTGTATTTGGTGCATGGTTAGGTGCGTTTCCTATTCCACTGGACTGGGATAGACCTTGGCAGGTCAGTATGAACATCACCACATGGGGGGGGGGGAGGGGGGG